AGGAAACTGCAATATTACGTGAGTGATCTTTAAAAAGTTTCTTGATTGCTTGATTCTCAGCAGCATCTCCCAGAGGTGTAGAAGTTGCATGTGCGTTGACATACGTTACGTCTTCAGGTTTGATACCAGAATCTTTTATTGCTGCAGACATACACCTAAGGAAAAAAAAAAAAAAGAATGCTGAATTTTCCATTTTATTTTTGTCACTAACACACAAGAACAAATCAAAAGCAGAAGTACAGGGTGTCTTAAAAAGTTTATTTTTATAAATCTGCATGACATACTTTACCAGAGATTAAATTACAAGAAATGGATTCATCTAATTAAACACACTAGCATTTACATTGAGCCACCTGAGAGAGAGACAGTAAGTGGTGAGACCCACTACAAAATTAGAATTGCTGCTAAAAATTCCACAGTTGGGAAAAATATAGAGAGAAAGAAAGAAGATACAACAGTCTCTACAGACTACGTTAATATTTAAAATATCCTTTTCAATGCAAAAATTGAAAACATTTGAGATAAATAACTACCTGAAATTATTACAAAAACTAAGGTTCCCTCCAGTGAAGCTTCTCTGGTGTAAGGACGCATTTATGTAACATTCAGTACAATGGTCCAAGCAATCCCCTTCCCCATCATAAGTGAAAAGAAGATCACCTGATTTTTACATTTTATTTCCCCTTGTATTTACAGTATTAGGGATTTAGGAAAAAAATTACTCTATCAAACAAAAATATTGTGAAATGAAATAAAAGCTCTGCACTCATCCTCCTTATGAGCATGCTTTCCAGAGGCTAGAAGATGTCAAGGAGATACCACAAATTCCCATAGATAAAATGAAATTTACTGAAAGTCATGCTTTTCTACCCTGCCGTGGTATATTCCATTCTGACTCATGATGACCTGTGGACCATCACTGCCTTTAGAAAACATGCTTTTTTACAAAAAAAAACAGGACTGATACAGCTCCATCTTGTGATTTTCTCACAGATTTCCCACAGAAAGGAGGAGATGAATCACATACCTCTCCTTGCATATAAAGCTTAATGACATATTTCTGAGCAAAAGTCAAATGATCTTTAGAAATGTATGAAAAGTAAGTAAATAAAAAGGAAGATCCAAAAAAAGACAGCAAAGGCTGCTGGACAAATTTAAATGTCTCCTGTACAGAAGCATCCAGCTTAGCTTAGGTTGAAGGTCACTGACAGTGAACCAACATTCAGGCAAAAAAGGTTACTGATCAACCATGCGGAAAACACACATTAATTTGGTTAAATATGTCAGCTGCAGGGAACATATTTACTTAAGGAGATAACATTTATTGTGTGGAACACACTTCACAGCCACACTTCTGAGTCTGGCTTTACCTCTCCTTAGCTGCAGGTTTATTCCAACACATGCATTAGTTCCCAACAGAAGTAGTTATTAGAATATGACAAAAAATGTATTCCCTAGAAGTCTTTTGACGTGGCAAATACAATTCCTACAGAAAAGTAAGAGAATCATATACACTTCAGATTTAATCCATACACCACTTCAGTAATGAAATATTGGTTTGAAGACTGCATTAAAGTATATTATCTCATCTCATGGGCGTAAAGGCTCAATATGTCGGAGATGCCAAGATTAACGTCCAACTGCTACCCACTGTTACTTTAATTTATATATTAAAAAAAATCTGTTACAATATCTTGCAGTATCACCCCCAGGGGTAAACAAATCTGAAAATCTGAGAGGAGACACTCCTGATTACTCAGCTCACACCTAAATCTGCAGAATAATTGAATATGAATCAAATAGCATAGAGGGAAACCTGGTATGACATGTCTTGAAAAATCTGTTCACCCAATACAGATGCAGAGTTTTACAATACCATGCAGCAGGTTGATCTATTTGTGCAGTGACATATTGAATTCTGCTATTTAATATTCACATGTGATCAGAAAAATACAAACAACTAAAGATTCCAGTGTCAGCAATAGCATTCAGTCTGCACAAAACTTACAAACTTACAAATGTAATTTAGCTGACAATTTAAATAGGTCAATGATAAGTATTAGATTAGTATCACCTAGTTTGTGACCTGGTTTTGATGAGATAAGCAATAATGATTAACCATCTCACTGAACAGTGCTAAAGTGTATTTCTGTTATGCTCTGCCACCAACAATTTTAGTTGCATCAATGAAGTACTTAAAAATCATTGTAGCACTGGCATATGATACATACAATACATTCCCCATGAAGACCTGAAGTCTTTTCCAAATAAGACTAGCCAGAATCAATGTTAATTACACGTACAGTAACTATTCTAAGAAACTAGACCCTCAAAGTGCTCTACAGCTTTCATCGCTTGGGATTTCTTTAAGAACTCTATTCCCCTTTCAGACCACAACTAATAACACAACCCATTTTTGCAGTAGGGTCTCTCATCTCTGTAGATGAAAGCTGAAGCAGAACCTGAAAAAGTTATATAATACCACAACAATTTTTAAAAGGAGGTTTCCATTCAGACTTTTTTGTGTGAACAGCTGTAGGCACCAAACACAAAATATTTTCACATAAAGTTGTAGTAACTCTACGTAAAAAGGCTGATTATAGCAAGAACTGGCCTTCATCTTGTTAATAAAAAAAGAAAATTGGGGCAAAACCTTACCAGAAGCTCCTTCATTTTTCAGATTATGTTTTCGGGCTTTTGGAAAATTAATTCAAGCTCAAACAGCATTTTTCTGAGAAAAGCATACGATGACAGAAACAAATGTATCCACTATAATTAATGTACAAAGTAGCCATAATAATCAACATATAGTTCTTACCTGAATGCACCATCTCCCTCTGGATTAGGTGCTGTTATGTGGCAAGCATCACCAGAGAGTCCATAACCTAAAACTTCTGCATAGATCCTAGCACCTCTTTGTACAGCGTGTCCATACTCTTCCAAGAGCAGCACAGCAGCACCCTCTCCCATAACAAACCCTTCTCTCTGCGAATCAAACGGTCGACAGGCCATTTTAGGGCTTGAGTTAAAACTCGTGCTGAGAGCCCGAGCTCTTGCAAATCCAGCCAAGGACAAAGGACTAATGCAAGCCTCAGTCCCTCCAGCCAACATGACATCAGCATCACCAGCAGCAATAAATCTAAAGGAGTCTCCAACAGCGTGTGCGCCTGTGGTACACGCAGTTGACACAGCGTGATTCGGCCCTTTCAGTTGGTATTTAATGCTGATCTGGCCTGCTGCCATATTGACCAAAATCTTTGGGACAAAGAATGGACTGACCTTGTTATAACCCTTTGCTTTAAATAAAGCAGCTGTATCAGAAATCTCTTCCAGCGGAACCATTCCCATCCCTATTGCCACACCAGCACTTAAGTGATCTTGTTCAGACTGGGGAGACCAGCCAGAGTCCTTCATTGCCAGCTCTGCTGCCCCGATGGCCATGACAGTGGCAGAACTCATGGATTTGATCTCTGACTTTGACACAAAGCTTTCTTCACTGAACTGACCCTCCTCATTTCCCCTGGGCACACAAGCAGCCACTTTACATGGGATACCTGCATATTCTTCCCCTTCTAGCGCTGCAATCCCACTGTCTCCTTGGAGAAGGCGCTGCCACACAAACTGAGTCCCCACACCAAGAGGGGACACTAAGCCAATACCTGTAACAACTACTTTCCTGCGACATGCAGGCAGCGACTTGCTGAATGTTCTTCTGTGGTTTCGTAAATGCAGATTTAAATTCAGGCTCCGGAGATGTAGATTTGCAATCTTTAATATATCTTGTGAGCACTGGGAGAACATGGTGGAAATCAATCACTCCAAGCACATTCCTGTAACTGGGGCAAAAAGAAGACACAAACCCAGCAATAAAGCAGCTGATGTGGAAAAACACTTCAAATACACTGTATTATAATGTAACAGCCTCCTTCTTACACAAAAGCCCATATTCAACCCTACAGAAGGGGATGTGGTTTCTGTGTCTGTAATTGGGAATTGTATGTGTTATGGCAGACAAGGCAGAGAAACACATTGGCTTTGTGGACATCTACGGGGGTGTCTTCTAGCTTAAGCTGCTGATGGATATGAATGTGCACTGCCAGGCATGCTCTGGCTTTGCAGTCCCTCTCTGGCCTTGCCTGGGTCCCCAGCGGGTCAGGAGCTGGTCTGGCTGCTGGCACTGGTGTGTGGCTGGGGCAGGGCAGAGGCTGCCGCACAGCTCTGCCAACGCAATTGCCACGGGCCGCCTGAGTTTCACCTGATAAAAAGGGCACCGTGAAACCTCCATGTCTTTGGGAGAACACAGGGAGCTGGACAGGACCTGTGTGCAGCTGTGAGGCTGAGGCACTCCAGCCAGAATAGGCAGACCCGGTCTTTTCTGTGGCAGGACGACAGAGAAGGGTTACAAAAAAACCCCGCTAAAAATAGCACTTTCTAAAGCAGATGGGGTTTTTTAAAGGAGCCTGCTTTAGCTCCTGACCCGGATTTATAATTTTATTTATCTCGAGCCAATTAGCCTGCATTTAATAACGAAACCGGAGGGCTAAAGGCAGAGGCCTTTCGAGCAGCGTGAGCCCAGCGCCGCAGGCAGGTTTTAATAAAATGCCATTATCTGCGTTAAGAAAACCGGGCGATTCCTGGTCTGACCCAAGCAACGCCAAGGAGAAAACCAAATGGGGGGTAACAACTTCTCTCCGAGAACAAGAGCTGCAGGACGCCACCGGTGCTTAAAGGGCATTAACTCTTTCAAACGCCTAAACCAGGCGTCAAACCCGCACCGAAGACCCGCGGC